ATTTCCTCCCCGTGCCACCAGTTCTTACCTCGTCGGCCACCAGATTTTCCGGGGGCAATTCCTTGTCGTCGTCCACTCGATCCGACAAGTCTGTGTTGCAGTAGTCCTGATTACGACACCAGCAGCGGACCTTCAAGAAAAAACGCTCTGAGTCTGAGTAAAAGCGGGGGGCATGCTTATTATTTTCTAGTAAAAATACAGCTGCAAAAAATTGAATAAAATAAAAATCGAGTCAATAGAAAAGAAAAGAATACTGTAGCGGTATAATAAATGATAATGTGATACTAATGAAAATATAGTATTACAAGAGAAAATAGATAATATAGAAATAATGTAAAAAAAATACCATAATAACACAAAAATTGACGTAAAAAAGAGTACAATATAAGCAAAGACATGTCTCTTTCATAATAAATCCTTCAAGAGCGATCCCATTCCTGACTACGGGCTTATGGAAAATCCCAGATCAGTTATTTTCTCAGGTTTTCTGGAATTTAGAAGTTTTCCAGTGGACCTTCACAATTCATTAGTTGACTGAAAGAAGCTCAAGTTGCTTTCCATTTCGAGGAATTTTCATATTCACTATAATCGAAAAAATTTTCACAGAACCTCAAGACTTTACAGCACAGGAGTTGCGGGGTGCTCACAGCAAAGGCGATGAATTAAAGCGTTGGGAACTCCATGTAAAGAGGAAAGTCGTCGCTTCGCCTTTTCCCTGAGAGTGGCCACTAAGCTCGTGGCGGAGCCCTTACGAGCATAACAGCTATGTTGTAATCAAAAATGGATTCAGAACGAGCGGTACATCTTGACAAATCCTTTCAATGACCACGACCTCTATATTGACCACCAAGAATCGCTTTGTGAGTCTCCCTCACAGAACATGAGTGTCCCTCAACCATCACAGGGTGGGGAAAGGAGTTTGAAATTTTGTAAGGGTAAAGACCCCACCCTATGTTCACAGTCGAGAGGAACATGTCCCCTATGTCGACAGTCGAATTTTATGGACTCCCTCTACTTTATTCCTACAGAAACTCCAACAAAACCCTGACACTATCCTTTCCCCAGCTCATGCTGGTTGAGGGAAACCCATGTTTTGACCATTTTATGCGTGCCCTTGCTGGGTTAAATAAAAAGCGTCTTCGATGACAACTGTTTCCGCGAATCTATCCCGTCCCATCTATTCAAATAAATTGCATATGTCCGTATGGGCGTTCTTTGTGAAGCCCTAAATCCCATTCATGGTTTTTCGAAGAAACTGAAACGCATAATATGGAAAGGAATATAGGGTAGTCACTTTTTCCGACAGACAGGGATATCCCCAACCGGTTCCATCCCCAAAAGTCCAAAATTCATCTGGATTCACCACAATGCAAGAAAAAAAAATGTGGAAAAGTTTGAGCTGACATCATATGGAGCCTAAAAAACACAGAGGAATTCCTGTTTTGAAGAAAATCCTTAAAAGATCGAGTCAGAAAGCAAATTCGCCGCCCTAGGCTCAATTCTTCATTCGACAGATGCATTTGAGGGTTCGCATGCCA